TCCGAAAGTTAAGAGACCATGTTCACCATTGTTCACCGATTCAATCGGCTTGGCACGACGCGACTTGATCCTGAGCCGACAACGCGAGCAAGCAACAGCTATTAAACATTGGCGGCGTGATTTACTGCGGAGAAAGTCCTCATCAGCATCGAAATAGCTAAAGATCTCCTGCAAACAATCTCAAGATCATGGCCCTCTGGAGAGATCTCAGGACTTCTCTCGGGCTATTTGTGGGTGCTAAAACCTATCAAGAACCTACTATAAATCCTACATTGTGCCTTCCCTTGACGGCTGCATGTTGGAAGGAACCATACGCAGTGATCCAACAAAAACGGCCTTGTACTGAGACTTTTCCACTTCAGATGCTTTGGAGAGGATCTTTGCTGCCTGCAATTGCAAGGGCTTGGAATGACTGCGCTGATATGTGTTTAATCTATACAATTACATATAAACGGGCAGGTCAAAACCGTAATGTCTATTGGCTGTTTTGTTTCGGCACAATGACAAGGAGTCCTTTCTGCAATCACTTGTCCAGCAAAGCACAAACATCACAACACTCTCTTTTTGTGTTTGTCTTCAGTATATACTCAGTGCTGCTTTGTAAGAGCTTTGTAAGAGCCTTGCTGTCTGCAGAACTGCAGAACACTGCGGTATCGTCGATACGTACTGTATGTGTACTGCCAAGGCGACATGGGTTTATTCGAGCGATTATTCCATCTGCCTTTCTCTGGACTCTTTCATCCTGGGATGCGCAAACTTCTTGGCAGAGTGGGGTAACTAGAAGTTAGAAGTCGGTATAGGTGCAAAACAAATGGGGCGTACATACATGCATTTATATAATCTATACATGACCATTGAAACAGTGACAGAATTTGCAACTGCTCACGTGTTACAGGGTGCGACAGCGGTTTGTGAAAATCACAACGCGGAGCGAAGCAGCAAGACTCACAAAACCACCATGGGTGAATTGCAACAGCTGTCCTCAAACTCCACATCCGATTTGTTCAATCCTTTTGCCTTTTTTTTGAGCTCCTTCTTCTTGGCCTCCGATGTGCGACTTGATGCGCAAGAACATGGACAAGCCACAGAACAGTCCTCCAGCTTTACAAAGCCTCAAGTTCAGTGGGGATTGCGCAGCCAACAACTGCCAGATTTGGGGTCTATCCTATTACCAGTATCAGTGCATGACGATGGTTAGTAAAGGCGTTTCTGTAAAATAGTGATAATTGTTTACTGACTGTTGCAGGTAATAGGACAGACCCAAGCCAAACTACTCATCTTTTGTTTGCTCTTGCTATGGATCGTTTAGTTATATTCGCAACAAGAAGAGATCTCTCGATTGCACCTTGTACTGCTCTGCCATCTTGGCCAAGTTTTCTTGCTCTTCTGCCTAGCTGGCTGAGACTGAAAAAGAACAAACCACCATCTAGCCAATATGATGACAAACAGCAAGGACATGCTAAGTGTCTACATGATTTTGGGCCATGTTCCAACCTTACCTCATCCACCTGTCCACAGGGCCCGCAGCCGATCCCTCTCTTCTTGACTTTGTAACAATCCCTGCCTCTTGCCCATTTTCAGGGATACCTTGGACAAACCAAAAGGTGCAAGAGACAGCAAGTTTTAAACATGTGCAAAACAGCTTCTAGGTCTTGACCTCAGAAAAGAGCGACTACAAAATACTTCTCATGGATTGGAACAGTTTCTCAACATTCCTGAAAACAGCATGTTCGAGAAGTCTGTCAAATGAAAAATGATGAAACATGACTAAATGATGGCGCATCGGCATATCTTCCACTCAGTTTTCATGAAGAATACAACAATCACGTTTGTAGGAGAAAAACAAAAGAATGCACAACCAGCGCTGGCTGATGTTCGAGCTCACGACACCATGGTGACACCAAGGGGCGTCCCTTGGGCGTATATATGCCTTGTAGATGTTGACGTCCACCACGAGTGACTTCCTAGCTACCCCGGGCCCTATGTCCAACGGACGACGCATGGGCCAAACCAAAAGAGTTGCTCTGTTGGCTCCAGCCACTACACAATCAAACACACTCTGCAGAAAGAGGTCTTCCTTGCGAGCACTCGTCGAAACTGCCGAAACTCGCCGCGTGGACCTGCATGGACCACAGTTCAACCCCAACAAACGTCAGAGCAGCTATCCACAGCTATCAGCTCTGCAGAACAGCAGAACATCGGCTCGATCACGTAGACTGAGCTCAGCCGACCCACCAATACCCGCCACACGGGGGGCGGGATCAGCGTGAAAACGAGACCGCAAGTCGCATCCAAATGGGGGTGTTTACAATTACGTCTCAAGAGTCTACAGAAAATAAGGGGATTCACCTGGATTCACTCTGTCCACTGTCCAGAAGTGACCCGACCTGTCTTTCGACGAACGACGGAGAGTCGAAGACCCGGGCCTTGTAGGCTTGGTGAAGATGCGACTCCTCCAGCAACACCGAAGCACCGCCCGACCTAAAAGCGTTGGCAGTCGTGGTTCGAGCTGAGGGTGGTCGATGCGGGCACCCTTTGGGATATGAAACGTGAATATCACTAGGAGGTGATGTATAAGTGAAGCAGAACAAACCAATGTGCATGTGTTCTGTATTTCAACTTACTCGAATTCCTCCACCAGAATGAAGGAGAAAACAAGAAAACCACATAAGAATGATACACATATATAAACATAAAAACTGCCATCTGCCAGCATCTGCCATGCGCACCGATCAGCTTGAGCGCCAGTGTTATTCTGACATCAACTGCACCAAATCTGCTTGGCCAAACCCGCTTGGCCATACCCGCCAGGGCGCCCGGGCGCTGCAGCGGCCTTTGCCTGGGATTTCAATTGGATGGGAATACTTATACTTGCAAACTAAGGTCTTTGTGAAAGGATGCCCACCCCTACACCCCACCAAACTCAAATCAAAATCCTTTGGCAACATCTGGTCGGAAACAGGAACAACAACCAGCCTGACAACCCAGCCATTCTCAGAAAGACGAGACACATCAACCCTCAAGCACCTCCGGTGGGTGAGTTCGCAGGCTCATCAACCAAGTCAAACATGGCCCTCAAAACATATAGCAATACTTGTGGGATGAACTAGCTGCCTGAGCCACTGCCAGTCTTCTTTGTCTGGTTGACACGGAGTCGTGGTGTGAACTGTCGGACTGGCTCCTCAGATGTTAGAGCTACGTCCTGCCGGGACATGGCACACTTTTCCACCAAACGGCACACGCAGGTCGTGCTTCCCCAATAGGGACCCGAAAGCCATCCATGTGTGTCAAGAATTACAAACCTATGATGTCTCCTGCACAGCCAGAAAAAGACTTCTTGAAGCATGGTATATAATGCTACTACTGCTACGAGTACTACTAACTTTGAGTGGTCACCCAACCATGATTTGCTGTGGGTATGATGTCCAAGACATTGGGCACCTATGCCATGCATAAACTTAACTTATAACTCAGCTTTGCCACACCTGTGCCACGTTGGAGCGGCTTAGCATGCCACGCGTGGCAGGCAGTATGAGTGAAGCAAGTGGTTTCGTACATCTTTTGTACACCAAGGACCTCCATATGGTGATAGTGTGGCTCCCCAAGACTAACTGCATCAGTAATGTATTCAAGCATTGCTTTCTCAGGATCCTCAGGTATCTCACCCTTGGAGATGTCCCAGTGAATAATGATCTGAGTATTTCTGAATAGCAGAATCCCGGCCGGGAATAGCAAGAATTCTTCAACTTCTGCTGAATGCTATGCCCTGCCGCCCAGTCACAGGTCGTGAGTCCATCACGATGCAACACAGCAGTCTCCTTGGCGCTCAGCAGCAAGCAGCAGGAACGGCTGCCGGTAAAAGACAAAATGGACGTCTGGTCAAGCAGTCACACTGTTGCTGGAACACGAAACACACTGCCTTTTCGGTATGTGGACATGTACAATTGATAACATGGATCATAGCTGTTCACCTCCTGGGGCAAGGAACAAAAGGTGTGTCGACAAACATCATCTATAGTGCTTGAAATTGAAAGGATCTGTAACCTTGCCTTAGCATGCTTCTGGATGTTTTTTTGTGCACAACCTAGCACCATTGCCTTTCATGCTTGAGAAATATGACAATGAATGCAACATCTGTCGAGTCAATGTATATTGCTTGGTTCTTGAAGCACACCCAATACTGCGAATTCGCTGCTCTTTGAAGTGTCAAACCAAGAGCATTCTAAAGGTTCCAAAGCATCCAAAATTCTAATAGATCTGACAGCAGCAGTCTGAAGGTATAGCCCGTCACACAGCCGGCTGACTCAGGGGTCTCCTACTAAAGGAGCTCCGGACAGGGGCAGGTTACAGCATGGCGGGAAGGAAACGGCACCCCGTTCAAGGTCTTCTGCAAGGAGCTCTTCTGCCATGTTTCACTTCACTCCTCACAAGTGGTCGGTCATAATCTCTTCCATTTGGGGCAAGCCCTAACTCACGCTCACTGGCTAGCTGCCTTGACAAACATCTCTGAGGTAAGAGTCTTTCTTCTGCGATCACCCAAGGGCCCACAGTCCACGAATTCCTGACTGAATGTCGGACTGCATGGTCAAGTCTTTCATACTTGATTCAGGACATCGGTGCGTCGGTGCTGTTGGTGCTGGCAAAGATGTTGCACTCATTTCGGGTTTGTATGCCATGCTACTCCCCATGTTCCCTACTTGTGAATCCTGCAGCTAAAGGAGCTTAACTCCTGAGCCATCATGGCAACGATCAGCCTGTGAGATTGGTAACTTGAGACCTGCAACCATCAGTGGCGAACACATCAACAGGCTTAGTGTACGCCTTCCATCCAGCAAGCCAGGAGCAAAAGCCACATCAGTTCAAGCATGCCTGAAACAGTGAGGGGTGAAGCAAGACAGCTTCCTGCAGCCAACAAAGGTGGTGTTCATGATATGAGGGATTGCAAAAATCAATTATATATTCCCCCGCCCTCAATGAGCAGCAGGAGAATGATCCCGCGCCTTGGGAGGGTAGAAGTACCTGAATGATTGCGGTCTCTCTGTCGTGTCTCAGCAGTGTGGAGATTAACGGAAAACATTGATCTTCAATGGAAGGTTTTGATGCCCAAACACCGGAAAAAAAAAGATACACAAGCAAGCATTCTGCGCAAATGTTGCAACAAATGCTCAATTCAGACTGATAGAACTGTAACTTTCAGAAAAGTAGCCTTTGGTTTGGGATGCTGCACTTCAACAGAGTGGTTGGGCCCACATATACTCAAATGTACAGGGTTCAATTAGCTTTCCCCGTCCAATCCTGGCTGGAAATCCCACTTGCTCAATACACCTCGTCTCCAAGTATCTGCTTTGAGTTCTGGGTCCAGTCACACTCTGACCACTGTGGTGATGTTGATATGATTTCTGGTGCGAACAACCGTCCCAAGCCTGTGCCGACAACGAAACCTGTTGTTGATCATCGCCGGTTCACGTGGCGATGCTAGAACGGACTAGAACTTTGGTTTTACAGTGCCCTGGGCTGTTCAACGACAATAGTTAAACAACAAAACGATCTTTGGCAAAACCCCGTATAAACAACTATACTTTGGTCACTTGTGATTACTTTGCCAAGATTCTGGTTCCGGGGGTGGAGACACTATACTTGGTGAGCTCGGAACGCCCACCACATCCCACGGCACCAGCAGCGGATCTTCTTGGCCTGGAGATCGTCGTCTTCCACACTGGGATTCCACCGGATGTATCCAAATTCAAACGTAACCTTTTCGCGTGTTGTTCCGTTATGTTGCCATTGTGTTTGCAGTACCTCTTGTCAAAGAAATTGTCCATTTGATGAGAGGGTGTGTTTGTTTTCAAGGTCTTCAGCAAGGAGATAGGATTCCCACGAGCCAAGAAGAGTGGGGGACTTCGCTGCATTTGACGATCATATAGAGATGGAACCCTTTTTGTTGGGTATCAGTCTCCGCACTGGATTCAGGATGGCAACAATTCAACGCAAGCATGTCTCTGCTCATTGAGCCTTGGTTCACATCACTGTTTGCTACATTTCGTAGCGAATCCTACAAATTCCCTCGCCAGCTCTAAATATTATATATAGGTTCCTGGGGGGGCAGCAGGACTTGCGATGCTAGAATCGATTTGGCCTGTGCCTATTATGCTTATCCAGGGGTGAAGTTCAAACCACCACAGATAGATGCGGGTGTGTATTCAATGTATTTATTTCATATCTGGTTGCTGATTTGAACCATTCTTACTTGTTAATTGGGGTAATCACTCCCAAACAAGGATGGACAAACGAAACAAACACATGTCCAACCTGCAAAGTCTTTGTGAACAACCCAGAGTGTGCCCCAGGTGGTCGGAACAGTTCCAGATCCAGTTCCGAACTGGCGCTAGCTGTCTCAGGGGTGGGGGAAGCAGTTCCGCCAGTTCTAGATCCAGTTCCAGTTGTAATTTCAATTCCTGTGATGAAATTCATATGTTTTTTTGCGGGGTGGTTAGGAGTCGGAGATCCAGATCCAGTTCCAGTTCTAGATCTGGTTCCGGATCCAATTCCAGTGGCCATTTCAATTCCTGCAATAGTTCTAGATCTATAGATTCCAATTCCTCTGATAGAGGAAATAGATGTTGCTCATATTTTCTGCGGGAAGGGTTCTGTCCTGTTGAACGATGGGGGAGGTTCCAGTTCCAGTTCCTGATCCAGTGGAACACACTATGCAAGAACCCCGTCGCATGCCCGTCAATCACATGGCTGTTTCTTTCTAAATTCATGGCCCCTGCCTCATCCATGTACTCCTGTACAGTGCTGTCTGGCAAAGAACGAAGATAAGCAATCAACCTGCAGCGGTTCCGGCGGCACGAAACCAACTTTGCGAATCTCAGGCTGAGTCACCGGGTTTCCAGTATGAAGTCTGTGGACGGACGGTTTCACACGAGTCTTACTGTAATCTAAGCCAAAGAAAAAGATAAAGCATGGAAGTTGTCTCAGGAGAAGTAACACGATTCCTTTGGAGTCATTCCTTACACTACAAAAACACAAACTAAAGAGGACCATGACATACCATGACCATGCCAAAGATGGTCTTCGATCATTTTGGAAAGTGCTTTTGCTGCTAGTGATGCCGCTGGGCATGCCCATCGGTTCGGCCCAAAGGGACTCCAACATCATCGACAAAAACATCCGCAACCATGGACATCTGAAGCCTGCCAGCCCAATCACTGCAGGTTCATTCAGATCAACAAGGATACGCCGAAGCAACCAAGATGAGACACGCCCGGTCCTGGGTTTCAGTCTAATTCCGGGCAAACCTATTTATATAGCCAATGAATGCCAAACACATTCAAAAGCACGATGCCCGTCTCTTGTCAATAGGCATTTTCTTCGACTATTTCGACTGAAGCGTGCTCGGAGAGGACTCCAACACCAAGATGACAAAATCGTCAACAAAGCAACCGATACCGAACAAGCAAAGTGTCTTCGTGTGAGTGGCCTCAACTGCCACGTCTGGTGTCTAACGGATTCTAAGGGTCCGCACTGAGGACCAATCTGTGTCGAAGGCCATTTGATCACGAAACGGGTGACGTCTAAGAAATCCTCCAACAAAATGCCAGACGGGGGGAAGTGAGGCTGCAGGCAGCCATGCAGGCCGTGTTGGCTACTGTTGGCTACCGCGATTTCCAGGAAAAGATTGACCAACAGTGGAGTTCAGAAGTTCGATGTTCGGAAGTTCGACTCTTAGGGTGAGTTCAGTTTGAAGTTGGGAAGATTTGGGCATGACAATAGATGACATGTCTCAAAACACATGCCTTGTATTTGACCCAGGGCCCAGGGCAAATAAATTATACAGTATATATAACATATACGTACATTTTAAGTTACATAAAAGCTTCCAAGAGTCCTCTACTGGCTGTTTGTCCCCAAGGAGGCTGTTGGGTGTGAATACCCTCTCGAGCCACACCGTGCGAAAGCGGCATGCTGTCCCACCTGGCCAGCGGCATTTTCAACTCTGTCCCTTGCATAATATGCTGCCGCAGCATACGGGCTTGTCAAAACCCCCATTCTGAAGCTGTAAGGGCTCAAAAGCCGTGATTGGTCAAGCTGTTCGATTGACAGAACTGGCCACTTGTGGGCCTGGGCTTATCAAAACTTGAGGGCCGTTAAAATTGGAGCTTTGCACGACGCACCAAAAACCGAGGTGATCTGGCCCCAGATTCAAGGCAACATCATCCTCGGCATTCTAAGCCTCCCAAAAGATGGACCAATTGGGGTCCAACGGAAAATTGGCCCTCTGATAAATGCTCCTAACCTAATGAAAGCTCAATCTCTCATGCTTGAGCGTCAATCTTGTTCCACACGCCTGAGGGAAGGGCGATGAATTGATCAGCGTAATCGTTCATCTTCCACAGGCGTGTGCGCAAATCGCCTGATTGCTGTCGTGGTGAAGGAAAATGATGTGACACCAAGGGCTGAATGCCAATGGATGTTCAAAACCGCAAGATTCATAGCGTTGCGCGAGAGAACAAAACGACAAAGGAGCATCCAGCAAAATTTGTTGCCTTACTTGTACGATCTTCCTGTGTGGCTATTGTTGGGCTACGGCTTTTCACGCACACTCGGGGCTCTATCCACATACAGAATTCTTAGAGCTTGTTGCTTGGTGTAACAATCACCTCTGGGCCTCCTGAGGTTTAGGCTCAGGCTCAGCTAGCAACAGCTGACTTTATACTCTATCAAAGTCTCGATCCAATAAAATGGTGCTTGCGCCACCTACTTCCACAGCTGCGATTAAGTGTTCGAACACCTCTGTGGACCTATGAACAGGAGCCTCGCCTCTCCTGGAGCTTAAAGGACTTCGGTGGACAAACCTCTGTCCAGCTCCGAGACAGAAACCTATGCTACTAGTAACAAAGGGCATCGCTACTAGGAGCAAGGACACTACTAGGGGCTCCTGGCATCGCTACTAGTAGCTCCTCCCCTTACTACTAGTAACAAGAAGCTACTAGGGGTCCTGGCCTTACGGGCTCCTGGCCTTACTACTAGGAGCAAGGACGCTACTTTACTAGTAGCTCCTGGCCTTACTACTATGAACAGGGACGCTACTAGGGGCCCCTGCATCGCTGCTAGTAGCTGCTGGCCTTACTACTAGTAACAAGGAGCTACTAGGGGCTCCTGGCCTGACTACTAGGAGCAAGGACGCCACTAGGGGCTGATGGCATCGCTACTAGTAGCTCCTGGCCTTACCACTAGTAGCAAGAAGCTACTAACTACTAGGGGCTCATGGCCTTACTACTAGGAGCCAGGACGCTACTTTACTAGTAGCTCCTGGCCTTACTACTAGTAACAAGAAACTACTAGGGGCTCCTGGCCTTACTACTAGGAGCAAGGACGCTCCTGGCCTTACTACTAGTAACAAGAAGCTACTAGGGTGGAGGCCATCCCAGTGTCAGGACAAGACCCACCCCATCCCATCCACTTGGATTCACTGGGTGAGTGTCTGAAACAACCCTTGTTTGCATCATTCACCAACCACAAACAAAAGATTCCTGACGTTTGCCTGATCTTTTTGCTGGCAATTTGGTTGTTTTCCTTCCGTGGTACACCGCTTTTTCTGTTAACTAGATCTGTCACATAATAGCCCGAAGAGATCAGTTAAAACCCAGGTGCTGATCTTCTGGCTGGCGTCATTGATGTTGTCCACTAGGGAGAAGTAATCCGCTTGCAGCTGCACGGCATATTTGTTGTCGAACCTAAGCATGGATCTCCTAAGCATGGAACAGTATTTCTTCGGACATCCAAAGAGGTCCCTGAGTAGGGACCATGGAGGACCCATGAAACACTGTTGAACAAACAGAAAAACAAACACATTTAAACACACAAACACACAACAACAACAACAACAACAACAACAACAACAACAACAACAACAAC